CTTTTCTACTACCAACTACTACATGGTAGTTGTAGCTGAAATTATGAGAGTTGTTCAAACAATAATCTCTATAGTTCATGCCTTTCTTCCTCCCCCCAAATCAATATTTCAGTTCTAATGAATTAAACTCAGAAAACTTCTTCATATTCTTGCTTTGGGTTTCACTTTTCTTTCTTTATTTTCATTTAAACCTTTTATTTTTAACCTGTCTTCTGGATTATTGTAGCACTCAATTAACTAGTCTGTCTACAGTCAATCTATTCCCATAAAGTTCACACATGATCATAAAATTTCACAAAAGTCACTAATGCATCTTGTAGTCTCCATAAAAAATATCCAAATTTCTTCTTAGAATATTGATCACTATCTGTAATCTGTCCTCTTTCTGTATTTACAAATTTTCCCACTCTACACCTCTCCATGTACTTTACTCAACAGATCCCATATTTTAAACCAGAAGTACACTAATATTTCTGAATTCTTTGCTTAAATTATTTTGTGCATGTGAAATGGTCTCACCATAGCACATTTTCTCCTGTTGAAAAGCATCCTTTATGGTTAAGTTCAAATGCCACTTTCATACTTTTATCAAGAAGTCTTTCCTCATCTTTCCATAGACTCCACTCCATTTAGCTGGGCTGAATCTCTTTCTTCCCTGAACACACAAGATGCTATATTGGTCCTCTATTATGGCACCTAACCCAGCATATTTAGTTGTATTTTTTAGTATTTCCCTTACTATATTGCAAGACTGGTGCAGTCTGTCCCCATCTCTTTAATCTTTTTTTATCTTAAATATTAACTAGCACCATACCAAGTATCTAAGTGCTTTTATGAAGCATAGTTACTTTTGACACATTTGTTGATTAAATAAGTGGATAATAAACAGTATATCCACCATGAATGTTGCTCTCAAGTAGTAAAATTCTATGATGAGCACTTCAAGAAAACCTTCTGAAAGTTACTATAAAACCAAGTGAAGAACCACAATGACTTTTAAAGCCATTTAGTATATGATTAAGAGAAAAATACTTTTAAAATGACAGATTTTCTCATTTACAAGCTAGAAGAGTGAATGAGTTCTTTTTATGAAAGAGAACATGTTATCTCTGTTTGATTTTGATGTCTTCCAGCTAACAGCCATAGTTCCTTTCATAATCAAAGAAGGAAAGATTAGAGCATACACACTAATGCTGCAGACTTCTTTACCTTTTCTTGTGGACAAAACAATATGTTTCTAGCAGATCAAGAGGAAGATGTCCTCAGAGCATCATTCCACTTAGTATTTCACTTAGCTTTTGCCCTCATTAAAAGCATATATACAGATACTTAAGAAATAATCACAAGAACATATTAATACACTATTTACTTAGAAGCCTATGTTTTAAAATTACCTTCTGCATCAATCTAATGCATTTTTCTGGTGATTATCATTGTTTTTAGCTTTGTTTGCAATTATGTACCCCAAAAAGTTACAGCAGTGTGTTGGCACATTTCAGCTCCATGTGCCCTCAAACTATTTGGCACTCATTGAGGTTATTTATCCGAAAAATGACTAGAAATGTTAGTTTGACATTTAGCCATTGATATAATTATTTTTTTTAAAGAAAGCATGCCATTTACATAATGTTTTAAGCTTTTAGTTGCATAATGCTAATTCATTTTGCTTTAAAAGGAAGTGACAAGTAACTCAGACCTAAATAACTTAATTACTCATATCTATGGATTTCTATGTTTCTTCTCCTGCCAAGAAAGAGAATTTTACCAATATATTTATATTAAGTTAGGGCCTGAATATGTTCCCATTCAAATACATTAACAGCTTAAGATATTAGCCCGGTCAAAGATAATCATGTTATTCAGTTGATCTTCCAGGACAGGATTATATCTACTAGGACTTCTAACTATAAGCAACTCAAGTAATCCAAACACCCAATGTATTGATTAAACTCCTCCTAAATTTTATTTCAGAAAACATAAAGGCAAGTGCCCAAACCTTTGATTGTGTCAGATATATGGCTGTGAACAAAACAACAAATTGAAGTAAACTTTGCTAAAACAGACACACAACATCAGCCATACCCTCTATCTCAGAAACAGCCTGGTATGAATATAGTTGGACTTGCAACTGCTCAGAATAATATCAAAAAAGATAGATCAGTTGGAAGCTCTTCATTACAGCATCTGTTCTGTGTTTATAGCTACATATGCAGACTGCTGAACACCCACAGTACACCATAAACGTAGGGATTGCACATCCAGAATGGCAGTGCACTCATTGGGTGATGTGTTCCCTAGAGTTTTCAGCCCCTTGCTTCAGTTGACAAAACTCTGCTAGATTTTTGTTGCTGTAGAAAATATTAGATTGTTTGTGGTTTTTGCAACTTTGGAGACAAACCAGGAAATCATAAAGCAGCAATAGAAAGGTAAAAACAGGCCCTGAGATTATTGCTATATTTTAAAAGTACAGTCTCATAGAGAGTTACAGGAGAAGTCACAGCAGAGTAAGTGAGAAAAATGAGTAAATAAATGGTTGCTTTCCATGGAAATTTAGCCTCAAATACCCTCTGTGGGTCAGCTCAGCTGTGTGATACACTTTGGAGGAGCTACCAATTGTACAAAGAATGCTGCATATTAGGATTACTAATTAGAAGTATTATTTCTTATTGTCAGAATCTAATAACATGTGATAAATAAAAGATAGCCAATAATGGAGCAATGCATTAAATGCCGAAAGTAGTGCTTCCAAGACAACCAGCCCAACTTAGACCAAGATGATTTTTCTCTCAAAAGTGTGATTCCAATGAAATTAATTTCTAAATTCATAATAATGCTGGGAATATTCTCAACTCCTAATGAAAGCAGTTCCAGGTGTGAGAAGAATAAGCACAATACCTGGGGACTGTATACACAGTAATCTAACTTCATTTTATCCCAGCAGTGAAGCAATGTGTACCAAGGATTAGTCACTGCTCTCTTGGACAGGTGCCCATATGTGTCTCTCACAGAATCACTGAGAGAGCTGTCAAAATGCATAATCCTGAGTACCAACAAAAGATATCTTGATTACATAGGTTCCCTCTTTCCATTAAATGGTTAGAAGAACAGTTTTCAGAAATGACTCACGACCAAAAATCATAAAACTTCTGAAGAACCGTTAACGAAGGCAGTTAGAAAACATGGAGCTGAGTAATGGTAGACGGTGGAACGGAACACTCAGAAAGCCATATGGGATGCAATAGAAGTCTCTTAGTCTTCACAAATAGTCAAGTTTTAAGAGTGTTTTCTCCCTTCTTTTCATTTTGTTTCCTCTCATTCCTTCCATCTAAATGATAATTGTCATGATGCCATTGTGCATCTGGACTCTGTGGCTCTGGTCTGTTGTTTTTGTTTTTGTTTTTTTTTTTCCATTTCATGGCACTGTTGTTTTGCTTTCATGCTCACTGGAGCTGAGGGGATGTTGGTTACAATGAAAAATCAGGGCAAGGGAAGAAAACAAGTAAGTGGCTTTAATAATCAGAATTTCATGAAGAAGTAGATATAAACTATTGAATTCATCCTTAACACTGAAAAAAAATCATGGATGTTTTATTTGAAGTAATAATAAAACTTGATGGACTTCAAAAATATTTATTTCCTAGAGACTCCCTCATCTGAGCCTCAAACCAATTATATGGTTTCTGTAAAAGAGACCCATGGTGCTGCTTTGCAAGCAAAGACATAAAACCCAGAAATTTAAGACATGTAGATTTTTTGACATATGTTACAATGAGAAATTTCATGCCAGTTAAGGCCTAGGCAAAGAATAACTAAATGGAATAATCAACTAAATGGAATTTACTTAAAAGTCACACAGATTCACAGTGGTTTGGTGTCCTCACTTAACAAAAGGGGAAAAATAACACCCATTCCTCTTACCTTGCAGACTTATTCAAATGCACAGAATAGTTCTAAAACAATTACATAACTACTACTATTAAAAGCCTTCATATTCATAGGATTGTTTCAAAAAGTAAAATTAATACTGCTACTGGGGGAAATAGCTTCATTTTTGGAAAATTAAATGACTGTTAGAACTTCAAGCATGCATGTTATTTTAAATGTTGTAAATGTGACATGAAATCTGTTTTCATGGGTCTCAGAATGAGATGACACATGCAAATTTTAGCATATGCTTCCCTGCAAAACAGAGTCAGGAAAAAGACAGGAATGTGTGTATTATATAAACTACTCAGAAAAATTACCAAAATAGTAATAAGCTGGACTGTGATGTTCACACTGACTCTCGAGTTTGAGCTCTTTACCTTAATCTGGTTTCTTGTTTCATTTGGTGTTTGATGGCTAGAAATCATTCTGATCATAACCTTGTAGTAGAGATAGGTCAGTTCATGTGTAGCATTATGAAGTTTACAGTACACATAAAATAAAGAGGAGGTGCATGGTAAGATAGTTGCATAAGGGAACTTATTTCAGGATATACTTGGTGCTTAACTAAACTCAAATTTTGAAATAGGCCAGTTCCCCCAGGTGCTGAATTTCCTTCCTCTTAAATCCCAGGTGAGTAATGGTATGACTCCAAAGTGATACAAAAAGTGAATCAGAAACTATCTCAACCATAATCTAAACTAGAAATTAGAACTAAAGATTGCATCTATGCCGAGACCCCAGATACTCCACAGGAGAACCCATGCGAAAGGAAAACATGAGGGGCAGAAGAGAAGCCGTAGATTCCAGGTAAGAGTGAATATGTGCTCAGCTGGTTGTTGCTTCACACTCCTTGCTCTTTCAAAAAAATGAAAACAATGAAGACCTTCAGTACTAACACACTCCTACTGCAACAAAATGTGAGATTTGAAAACAAAAAAGAAAAGATTAAGAAAGGACAGGAAAAACATTGGGGAAATGGAAGAACATGCTTTAGTCAAATAGAAGAAAATGGAAAGAGAGAGGGAGAGACAGAGAGGGAAATAGAAAAGGCAAACCCAGGCCAGACAACTCACTTGGCATTCCCCGCCCCTGGTTTCTTTCTTCGGAAAATGCTGAGTAAAGTGTTGGAGCGGCAGGGCAGCTTGCCGTCGCCGACGTGCATGCGGACCACGTCCGAGGTGGTAAAGGCACTACGGACATTCCTCTCGGGTTTGGCAATAATGATGTACATCTTGGGGGTGAACATGCACCCCAGGGCCACCGTTACACTGAGGCTCACTGCAAAGCAGGTAGTAATGATCTTGTAGTTGCTCCCAAAGTAAATGGGCACGAAAGCCAGCCAGATGATGCAGGTGGTGTACATGGTGAAGGCAATGTACTTGGCCTCGTTGAAGTTGGCGGGCACGTTGCGGGTCTTGAAGGCATAGTAGGTACAGCTCATGATGAGGAGCCCATTGTAGCCCAAAGGGGCCACCACCCCCAGGTTGCTGGTATTGCAGATAAGGTAGACTTCTTTGATGCTCGGGTAGGACAGGATGGGCATGGGGGGCTCCATGATGATCAGGGTTATCACCAAGGTTAGCTGCACGCTGATCAGAATTGAGGCAATGATCACCTGGGCCCAGGCGCTCATAAACCTGGGCTTCCGGGTGCAGATCTTCTTCTTGCTGCCCGCCAATATGCGTGCGATGCGGTTGGTTTTGGTCACTAAAGCGGAGTAGCACATGGCAGAAGAGAGGCCGACCAGGAGGCGCTGCAGGTAGCAGGAGGTGGTAGTGGGCTTGGCAATGAGGGTGAAGGGACAGACGTAACCAAGGAAGATGCCAGCTAGGATGATGTAGCAGAGCTCCCGGCTGGAGGACTTGACCACAGGTGTATCTCGGTATAGCACGAAGATCAGGGTGACAAACAAGGTGACAAGGATGCCCAAGCAGGAAAAGGCGATGGCTATGATGGACTCTATATTGCTCCACTCAAGGTAGCGGACAGGAATGGGTTCACATCCTGTGATGAGAAAGATCGTTTTAAAATGAATCCAAGGTTTTGCTGATCAGTAACAACAGGGCTTACTAGTTGCAGGGGCATAGCTATATTCACAGCTTCCATGATGTATGGTGTTTTAGTTCCTTTTTTAAAATGCCTCCTTATCACACAAATAAAGATATACCATTGTTTTCTCTGGACAGTCATGCTCCCAAATCTAATCTCATCACAAGCTTAATGTGACATACTTAAGCCTATAAAAATAGTCTTTTCTTAAAGTGTTATAATTGGATGCTGTTCTGTGGATGGAACTCAGGTCTACACTTTCAGAAAATGAGAGGGAAAGATGCAAACTAAACTGTGTTTCCATCGAAGGTTAGATGGTCACAATGCAACAGAATAAGTTCATAAGAAACAAACTAACAAAGTTTTTATTTTTATGTAGCTACTGTTCAGCAACAAGTCCAGCTCATAGACACAAGTCCAGCTCATTAGAAAAGCATTCTCTTTCTTTCTTTCTTAACAGCCAGAAAGCTGTTTTAAACACAAATTCCATTTGAATTCCTTAGAAGAATCTGTATTCTCTTATTTACCACATATTATATTACTCACTTTAAGTTACTTACTTTAGGTCTTAGTGTCTCACCCCTTTAGTTATGTATGATCTGTATGTGGCATCTGAGGGCCTTTGACTTATCAGCCTCTAATAGACACGCTAAGGAAGACTGAAATCTCCCTTCACCCACTTCTTGAAAGGAGAGACAGCCCTGTTTCTAAATGCCTGGCTTATCTTTTCCTTCCAGAATAAAGTCTGTTTTGTATTTCACACAGAGAAAAACATTTGTCAAGTCTTGGCAAAAACCCTTTCACACGGTTTTGTGTTTGGTCTGGGCCGTTATTTCCCAAATTGTGAGAATAAAAACATGTATTTCCATAAATTTAGGAAAAGATTCATTGTTCTGAAGCCATGAGAGCAAGGAACCACCAGAACCTGTTTTAAATCTGTTCAGTCATTCGACAAGCGCTGCCGTCAGTGAACACAGCTTTTGCATGTTAACCAGTCAGTCATTCCCGGCTTCTGATAGTCACTCAGTCAGGAACAGGCTCATTTTAATACATAACTGTCGACCACTCACAAGCACACGCTCCTGGCTGAACAGAGTGGCCTCCCTCTTTTGTGAGTCTGGCGTTGGTCTGTATTAAAGTCTTAGCTCTTCCTGGAAGAACTCCTCCTTCCAAAATAAGTCACATTTTAACTCTAAATCTTTCTGTTTCCTTGATAAAGTTGAGAAAGATGATTTGATAGAATAACAATGATCTTTATGGGGGACACAAGCAATAAATTAAACTATTTAAGAACAGCTTGGAGAAGGAAACGGCAACCCATTTCAGTATTCTTGCCTGGGAAATCCCATGGAGAGAGGAGCCTGGTGGGCTACCGTCCATGGGGCCGCAAAAGAGTCAGACACGACTTAGTGACTAAGCAACAACAGTAGATGAATTCGGAGATAAAATACTTAATAGTCAATACAGTAAGCCCCCTACATATGAACAAGGTCTGTTCTGAGAGCATGTTTGTAAGTTCAATGTGTTCATAAATTTAATAAAGTTAGCCCAGGTACCCAACTATCATAATCGGCTATATGCCACTGCTTTTACACTTGCTTCTGGACATCCTGGACTTGAAATAAAGATACTACACTACTGTAGTCTATACATTACTGTACAGTACAGTACACAAAAGCACAGACACTTACACAGGATGCACTCTGCGACAGTGTACGCCAGACACCTGAACTAAGTTACACCATTGGACGTGTGAACACACGTGCGCATATTTGAAGGTTCAAAACTTGAAGGCCGGTATGTAGGGGACTTACTGTATTCAGCTCTTTTAATTGGCATTCTGAGCCTGTTAAATAAAATTCAAATTCCAATGGAGTCTTTGTCAAGGCCTTTGCAACATTCGGAAAGCTACCCTCTGCATTTCTCTTTTTCTACACAACCTGGTTTTATAAATGAGATATTCTGTCTTTGGAGTTTTTATTAGCAAAGAATACTGCATTTAACATTTTTAAAACGCAAGTCAGATCCACTGAAGTCGAATTAAAACCCTGGTCTAGAGCCAAATTGAGAGATATAATTAATGATTTTCCTAAACTTCAGGGGTACAGGCAAAATATTTTGTGCAGAATTCAGGATTTTTATTAGACACTTATTGTCCTGCACTGCAGATATGTACCAATTAACTCAATTAATTGTTAGCCTCATGTGGGAAAATATTTTAAAAGGAACAGATTAGAAAAGGGAAGATTTAAATAACTCAGTGGTGTAAAATTTTAAAATAGAAAATATATTACATAAGGCAATTTCAGAAGTTTTTCTTTCATTAAAGATTCAAAATAAAGATGAAAGATAGATTTTAGGAAACCTTCAAACAATTATGGGGTAGATTCAAAGCTGACATAACAAGAACTATATCCTCTGTGCAAATGGGCTCAGATATGAATTAGGAGAATCAAACAGAAAGCAAAATGTTAAAATTAAAAATTACCAAGTTAGAAAATATCTAACATTTGACCAGACATTTTCAGGTATACTTTAAAAGTAAATAAACTAGAAATCAATATAATAATGGATCCTTATTTAAAACATTTAAAAGGGCCTCTATTCTCTGTGATTTAGGAAGCTATAGATAAGAAAAAGGCTTCCCAGGTGGCACTAGTGGTAAAGAACCAGCTTGCCAGTGCAGCAGATGTAAGCGATGTGGGTTCGATCCCTGGGTTGGGAAGATCCCCTGGAGGAAGGTGTGGCAACCCACTCCAGTATTTTTGCCTGGAGAGTCTCATGAACAGAGGAGCCTGGTAGGCTACAGTCCACAGGGTTGCGAAGAGTCGGACATGACTGAGGTGACTTAGCATGAAACATACAGCAAGAAAATACAAATATTACAAAGAAAGGTGTCATTTAAAGAATCATCACCCCATCCTAGAGCCTGTTATACAGAGTGAAGTAAGTCAGAAAGAGAAAAACAAATATCATATATTAATGCATGTATATGCTTCCCTGGTGGCTTAGTGGTAAAGAATCCACCTGCCAAGCAGGAGACCTACATTTTCTGGAGAAGGCAATGGCAACCCACTTCAGTATTCTTCTCTGGGAAATCCCATAGACAGAAGAGCCTTGTGGGCTACAATCCATGGGGTCTCAAAAAAGTTGGACATGACTTAGTGACTAAACAGCAACAACAATGTATATATAGGGAATCTAGAAAAATGGTACTGATGAACATATTTGCAGGGCAGGAATAGAGATGCAGACATAGAGAACAGACGTGTGGTCACAGCAGGGGAAGGAGAGGATGGGACAAACTGAGGGAGTAGCATTGAAACGTATACATTACCGTGCGTAAAACAGATAGCTAGTGGGAAGCTGCTTATATAACAAAGGGAGCCTAGGCCAGTACTCTGTGATACCTAGAGGGGTGGGAGGGAGGCTCCAGAGGGAGAGGACAGATGTATACATACGGATGACTCACAATGTTATGATGAAGAAGCCAATACAACATTGTAAAGCAATTAACCTCCAATTAAAAAAAAAATCATGACCTCATATTAGTAAAACTCAGGACAACTGCCTAAAATCTGTCTAATGACTTAACTATGGGGAAGACACCAACACCCACAAACTCCCTGTCTGTCCTCTGAACTCCCAGGGGAAATAATATTTCTTTGTTATTGATATAGATGCTTTTAATGTCTACCAATAATTTCACTATTAATAGAACATCAAATACCTTGGTTTATTAAATAGTGAAAATCTTATGTACCAACACATAACTGGGGCTTTGACACTATTATTATTAGAATACATTATTCTTGGTGACACAAAACCCACAATTCTAACATGTAGGGTTTACTGTCAGGCAAGACGTGCTACAGTTCTTGCGCATGGTCAAGTTATAACTGATTTAATCATGAAAACACCTGTACTATGTATAATTTAAGACATTATCCAAGTAATGCCTATCTCCTAGAATTCCTGTGGACAAAAGACTCCACAGAAATAGGAATTGAATTGAAATAGAGCACATAAGCATGCAGATTATCATAGGTATCTAGATCACCACAAATCTTTAATTTTTGTATAAATATGAAAATGCTACACCGTGATCTAGATGTACTAATAGTATGAAAGAAAGAAAGTGAAAAGTTAGGCTCTCAGTCAAGTCCTACTCGTTGCAGACCCCATGGACTATAGCCACCAGGCTCCTCTGTCCATGGAATTCTCCAGGCAAGAATACTGGAGGGGGCTGCCATTCCCTTCTCCAAGGGTTTGTCCCAACCCAGGGATCGAACCCAGATTTCCTGCACTGCCAGCAGATTCTTTACCTTCTGAGCCACTGAATAAATGAAATTAACAGTATGGCAATATCAAACAATTATTGTTCATTGTGGTAGGTAGCTTCTAAGATGATTCAGATTGATCCCCACATCCTGGGATTCATGTCTCTGTGGAATGCCCTCCCCTTGAGTGTGAACTAGGCCTATGACTTGCTTCTTTTCTATAGAATTTTCTTTTCTATAGCAAAGTTGATAGACTGTCTCTCCCATGATTAAGCTATACAAGATAACACTCTTCATCTTGTAGCAGACTCTCTTGCTGGCTCTGATTAAACAGCTCCTATTTTGCTAATGTCCACATGGCAAGGGACTGGGAGAAGTCCTCATCCCCAATCACCAGCAAAAAAACCCAAAAAACAAAACTTAAGCCCTAAATTCAAGTCTTTGATGATTGTATTCTGCCAATAACTAGCTAAGTGAATTTGGAAGTGCACCCTTCCACAATCAAGTCTTCAGACTAGACATCATCCATAGCTGATACTTCAATTTTTAGCTTTGTGAGAGCTTATAAAGCAGAGAACTCAGCTAAACTGTGCCCATATTTCTGACCCACGGAAACTGTGAGATAATAAATGTGTATCATTGTAAGCTACTAAGTTTGGAGGAAATTTGTTTGGG